TTTTTTTTTTGGCTCCTCATTAACATACTTATTACCGTCACTATCCCATAAACCAGGAGGTATTCAAACGCAAGATGACGCCGTTAGATCCATACCACCCTCCTTCACACCACTTTGCTTAACCTGGTTGCGGTTATCCACTGCCCACAGACCTATGATCAAATCAGAGGTTGAAGGGGTAGCAGATGGTTTCGACGTGCCATAATGGGGCACACTTACATTATTGTGGACAGTGACTCTACAATTACAAGCGCAGGGTCCCTTGTATCAGAAGAGGGGCGAAACAAGCATTTGGTCTTTTGTAAGATGCTCACGTATGGATCCCTGGCCAAACGTGACGCCCTCTACGGCCCCTGACTTGCACGGCTCTTCGAAAAGGGCCTCGATCCCATGCAGAGAAGCTTGGAAGTGCCCGTCAGCTGCGCTGCCAATTGGAATCTATGGAGCGGCGTGAACCCATCAACTAGTGACTTAGCTGGTAACTGCTGCCTCCGGCATTATACGTATCTGGGCTGGTTCGATAGAGCCAGGGAATCCTCACCTTTAGCCATTTGGACGACCCAGACAGATGACTGCCGTCAGAATTAGCAAGCCGAGCAAAGAATTATCTTGGATAGCCTGTTTGTTGTCAATGCCCATATGAAGGTTCGCCGTAGTTATTAATTAGGGACCAGGTATCGAATCCTGCATTTGGGGTGGAATTTGGTCCTATGCTATGGATCCAATCAGCTGAAAAAGTTCACTTTACATGGTTACATCGCTTCCTTGTTGTCTATAGCCCCCCTCGGTGAAGAAACTCCAGAAGCTATTCCCCGCGTGGAGTGAGATCGGACCCTCCCCTTCAGTCCCCCCCCACACTCTCATCATCCCTAGATCGGTCCCTATAATTTGCGGATCATTCCGGATGAAAGAGCTGACATGGACGAGAATGGGGCCGGGATGCAACGCTACCAGCCCGAACTAACACACTAGTACCGTAGTAGTTCATAGGTACTACTGCAGATGCACTCAAAGGCTAGGACAAGAACGATCTGGACTGAGTCTCGGTCTCTCAGAGCGCTCCCGCGTGGCCAGTTAATCTGTGGCATTCTGACCACCTCGAACGAGGGGTAGTTCGGTAGTGTATACGGAGTCTCTAGTCAGACGTGATGGATATACTGCATCACGCAAGCGTTAGTCATTCAGAACCTCACTAGGGTCAACTTCACATGCAACTCTCTCTACCTCCGGGTGGCATGGGTGTAACGGGACTTAATCTCGGAACTGTTGTTGCCATGATTCACTAAATCTGTCTGTTATGTTTACGAGACGTGGGGATTTGTTTTTATATCAACATTGGGCGATGTTCAACGAAAATCGGGGTATAGTTTTCTTCAAGGTCCGCAAATCGTTCTTTGATCGACCGCGGTCTATACTGGTGGGTAAATAGCATCGCCCCGATACTGATCCAACTGTTGGGATTCTCATAAAGGGTAGAATATTGACTTTGGATCTGATTGCGTCCTTGAGATTAACGAACTATGCTCCGAGTGGGGTATTGATTCTAGTGAGCAGCATGATGAAGCCGGTCAATACCGTGCTTCTACTGCGGACGTAATACTACAACTTTGAGACATTTAGCTAGACGCCTACAGAGAACTAGCCAATACGACGCGATTTGTTTGTAGTCGAAAAGACAACTGAGGCTGAAGAGGCTGGAACTGGGTATGTCACGACACCACCTACTGCCAGAAGACTAGCGCGATCTAGGCAAAGTCGGATTCTTGCAGTGGCCTCACCGAGAATGAAAATAGATGAACGCAGACGAGCATGGTCAAGACTCAAGAGTGCGTTCAAGTGTTCGGGATACTTGACACGGACATTTCGTGCGGCCTGAAGATTGCTCGGTTATACGACGAGCAGGGCCACCTAAGAGAGTAAATGGATAGACCTAGATTTGTGGTGAATTGGGAATGGTGGGTATACCTTACTTGGTCCAAATTGCCCATCACTACGAGATAAGTGTAAGGAGGCACTTGTCAGACTCAGACACCGATCAGTTGATTGGGATTTCTCGGAGCTGCACAGGCTATGGATGCAGCAAGGAATATGACGAAAGATGTGAATGGGACGAATTTCCTGCCGACTACGTCTGACAACAGCGTAACAAATACACCACAGCCTGCGAGTAAGTTAAACAATCCGAGATAGTATACAGAATGGCTAGCAGGATTTTCATATCCATTCATGAGAGATGCAGATCGAGGAAAATGCTGAAAGGTCTCTTGGTCAGCCGCCATTAGTTACAACTTAAGCATCACATTACAGCAAGTTGCGGTACTAAAGAAGAATAACAACTGTCGCCATGTTGAAATGGTGGGCCCCGTAACTTCAGGCTCCCCAGGGAGGCCTCGGTCGTTTTATTTTAGAGTTGCAGCACCTTCGATGGGCTTCTTCACGGGATAGTGCACTGACTCTTCACTCTCAACCGACAGATCTATGCCCTTAGGAGCTAATGAAGGGCTAAGATTGGTGCTTAGGATTTTAGACGGAGCATCTTGTGAGTAGAGTGGTTCGATGTGTCTCACGTTGCCTTGGGTAGGCTATAGTCCTCTCCTCTCGCGGGTTATTAGGGTAGTCTTAATATTGGAGCCAAGAAAGACAACAGAAAATGAGTCTTAAAACATTGGCCACCGCTAGTGTTAAAGATAGGATGATTGCTTGGACTGGGGTCAGGTCACTAGTCATCCGGCCCTAAGCACGATGTGGAGGATCGGCAACCAACAGACCAACCTTTTCGACCACTCTCTTCAACACTCCCCGGGCTAGACCCTGGACCCTGGACGCATTTACTAACCTGCCCTGGATAGTAAATTATCGGGCACCAGTCAGAGGATGTCGACGGGAGTTTGAAATCCTTTTTTTTCCAGCAATTAGTGGTTGGCCGAGGTGCAGCTGAAGAGAAGTCACCATGTGATATAATCTGATCATGGCATGTCAACGAACTACGAACAGTGTTTGTATGAACGCACCACAGAAAACATTGAAAGAAATTAAGATAGGATCCTTCTATTACGCCCCTAGATTGCTCTTGGTTGGCTTTGTGGCGATCAGTAAGTAGAAGCAGATCTTCAGGAGCGTCATCGCTCTCTGGGCAGTTGAAAACAGCATGAGATTCAGTTTTACCTAATGGGGTTTGCTGATGTGATTCTGCATTGCATGGTGCTAATCATAGTATATGCAGTTATAGTGACCAGAGATCAAATTGTCCACCACCCACAGAGAAGTTGCTTGTTCATACCCCGCCGGACAGCGTAGAGTCCTCCGAATCGTGGGATTTCAACGGAAGAATCAACTTGGAGAAGGAGCTTTCTAGCTTTTCATCCGAAGTTTGGGGTATAAAAAGGGGTTTGAATTCCCTCTTTTTTTTGAATCTCGAGAACCAGGAATCATTCTTTCAGATACACAATCAGCCCAGAGAAACCTTCCTTGCATTCAATTTGATTTGAACATCATGCTTGCCAAACACGTCCTTGCTGTCCTTTTTTCTATTGGCGCTTCTGCCTTTCCTTTTGACAAGCGAGATGCATCCACTGTCCTTGCTGATTTTAACACACTCTCGACTGACCTGTCAGCTCTCGGATCTGCTATTTCGAGCTTCGATGGAACGCTCAATGGTGCCTTGGGTGTCCAGCAGAAGGAGGGCGAAGTAGAGACGGCGTTGAAGAAGACCGTCAGCGATGTGAAAGCGTCCACTGCGTTCAGTGCCGCTGACAGCACAAGCGTGACCAATGCTGTGACCGGTCTGGAGCCTAGCATTGTAAACGTTCTGAACGATCTCGTTTCTAAGGTGTGTTATCATCTGACTTGAATCTTTCCACGGAGATAAATCACTGACAATATTGGTAGAAATCCGGGTTCGACTCTGTTGGGGTGACCAGCATTGTCGTTTCGGATCTCAACTCCCTCCACGATCTTACTGGCCAGCTCTCAACTGAGCTCCAGTCGAAGGTCACTTCGGGTGACGCATCTACCATCTCCGACGAGGCTGCGCGTCTTGATGCAGAGTATCAAAAGGCTATCGCTGCCTATTCCTAAATTAGGGTGCTCTATAGGTCCCGTATCAACTGATCGTCGAAGGATTCGAGTTGGCCGAACAAAGCTAGAAAAAGGACATCCTGCAAGAATTAGGCTATCTTTTAGCATAGTGCCCTAGCTTTTGTGAGATTTATGGGTTAACTGAGCAGTATTAGGCTGTTGAACTTGTGATTCTTTTTCTTTTATTCCCTCTCTAATCACCCCCAATTTACATCATATTGTGCGTAGGCTCTGCAAGATTCCAGATTGAAAGCAGGACGTTTGACCAACAATCATATATATTTTGAACTTTTTAACCCAAATATGATCTCATTGTGTAGCAGTATCTTGAGTTTAGGGTTGAGACATGCTATAGAAAAGGGGGATAGGTTGATGAGTGAATGTCGTTTGAAACCGTGTGCCATTCGGAGTCCATTTTGCGTCTCCGCATTTATACGCAGTAGATCTGATTAGTATTTGTACTTAGCTGGAAGCCTGCCTCAGGCCGTGAATTTAGGCGTGAAAGTCTTTACTTGATCGGGAAGTGTTATCGTCAAACATCTTTAAATCGTTGCGAGTAGGATAAGATACTGCATTCCTGCCTGTATACGTACCTGTGCACCTATTCTAGACCGGGGATATCAGCATTATCTTTCCTTTGCTTTTCTATTATTCAAATTTGAAAAGAATGAGAGGGTGTAGAGAAGGGAATCAATTGAGTTTTCGCTCCCCGGGGTCTTCAACTATGGCAACCCATGGAATGTACATACTCGACCACATAAATCCTGGAGTGCGCGCGTCATCACTAGAACAACTCGAATCACTACAAACAAATAAAATTCAACGTATGGAGGTATCCGAGGAGCGTTGCATCCTTCGTCTCTTATGGACTGTATGAATATGTGGGCATCTAATTCCATCTAATCGCGCAGTTTCGCACGGTAGACCCTAGACGTCATCAATTGCTCGAAAACCTTTATACAGATAAGGTATACGTAATGGTGTTGTTCCCCTGAAATGCTGTAGTCAGTCAGTGAGTTCCCCTGACGCAGATTACCCCAGAGACACTCCATGTAACTGATTCTGTTTTCAGTAAATGGTAGACTGTAATCCGTGGGGTGTGCCATTGATTCTATATTCTTTGACGTCACGATGTAAGCTCGGGTAGTTCGGGAAGTCGAGACTCGATAATATATATCATAGGAAGAAATAAAAAAACTATGGGTAAGAGCAGCCCCCAAAACAGAGAGATCCTCTTGTCCACAGGGCACTAACTTCAGATTTCAACTGCGAAACACATCACTACGATGGTTAAGACCCCGTTGTTCTTGTTTATTATATCGACCGGCAGCTGCAATGCCTTGAGTCTCTGCGCAGGACGGCAATATTGTCCCTGGATGGGCCCGGTACAAAGCGCATCAGAGCCCAAGGAGGATGGAAATGTGTATGTTGGTATCGCCAGGTTGAACCTGCGTTATATTCTGAATAGCCCTGTCTAGTGATTGCCTATCAATGAACTCATGCGTCTACTAGTGCCGCCATAGAACTACCGAAGCAGCAGGTGCACTTCTCAAGATTGCCAAATGTAGATAAGATTACAGGAAAACCTTCACACAGTGAAGCATTTTCTTTGCTCGACACGGTCTCCGACAAGCTCCAAACCGATGTGCTACATGGCTTGGATGAGGAGACTACTTTCCATGATCGCACCTGGGCTTCGAGGTATGTCATTCTATCTTTCAGCGATATGAATTGCACCATACTAACTAGTTTAAATAGAGGAAATGGATGGGACGCTCGAGTGGAATTGAAGCTAAGGTAGACGTAGACTCGTGAAGGATCTATGTATACAGCTAACACGACCTAGACCGGGGAACCGGGCGATGTCTAGTTTGGACTGGGCTACTAGATGGGAGAAAGCAATGGACTGCCTTTCGTCAAAGGAGCTTGAGAATGTGGATATGTATGAAATGGATGAGCTTGCCCTTGCAGCCTTCTGGGACCGGGTGTGGGGATGCTATGTACCATATGCAGGTGGACGTGACGAATGAATGAGGTTATGACCCTGAAGAATCTGTCATGAAGCCTACGATTGAGTTTTATATTATGAGAGTAGACTCTATCCTATTTGTGAGTAATTAAGCATGTGTTCCTCTGCTCTTCATGTCCATGTCATAACACTGCCAAGTACGGACGCACTGGGGTACTGTACAAAGCAATTGCAAGGGAGTCAAGTACATAGAGCTTCTCTCACTTCTTCTAACATCTCTTGGATAGAGTTATAGGCTGACAGCAGTGAGAGTAATATGAATATGACTCTCCAAAAGAGGTGAATGGCAGTAGGTAACTTGGATTGGGATTCATTTGTTTGATCAGCAGTTGAATACTTAATCTGGAACCAAGACAATGGCTTCAACTTTTCATTTATAAGAGTGAAAGACTTATAATCTTAGGGTGATTGAGATAAAGGACCCTTATCTGTTTTCAGACTTGAATTCTAATTCAGAAGTCCGTGTCTTTGGTTGTTCAAAGCAGGCCCAGACCATCTCATTCTATCTGCCCCTGGCTGCACGTGACGCCCCATAAGCGACACCTCAGCAACGACGGCCGCGCCGGTCTCCTGAGGTCACTTCCGCTTCCCCAGTCTATCATCCAACTTACCTTCTCCCTGTTTCAAAACCTCCTTTTCTCCCCTTCTTACCTCCCTTTCTTCCTTCCGTCTTTAGCTTCAATTTTAAATTCCTTTTCTTTCTCTTTCCTTATAACCCGGTGGAATTTATTTGCGTGGCGTTTCGTTGGTTGGGTGAGGTCGTCCTGCGGCCTACGTAAATATGGCTCCTCTCCCCATCAAGTTTACGGAACTTATTAATGTATTCTCCGACCCTTGACTTCAATACTATCAGACTAGTGATGGGAAGCTGACCTGTGTTTCTATACTTGCAGTTGACAAATGCTGAAATTGCGGTATGTCTTGTCGCACTGTTAGCTCGTGGTCTTTAAGGCTGCGGTGCTAGTCGCGCCCAACCATACCCACCCTAACTGTGGTCAACATCTACTTACGTTGCTCTCTTTACCAGCCGGCATCTATCGGGTTCAACTCATGTGTAAGTCCCACACACATACTACACTGTTGCCCCTCAATTGATCCACAGTGTGCTAATTGCTCCCCCTCCCCCGCAACAGACTCTAGAATCGGATCACTATGTCTGCGTTCGGCAAAAGCTCAATGAAGAGGATAAACCCCAAGTTATCATCATCAACTTAAAGAATAACAATGAAGTCCTCAAACGGCCAATTAACGCTGATAGTGCTATCATGCACTGGACCCGAAACATCATCGCCTTGAAGGCCCAAGGCCGCACAATCCAAATCTTCGATCTGGGGGCGAAACAGAAGCTGAAGTCAGCGGTGATGAATGAGGATGTTGTTTACTGGAAGTGGTTCAGCGACAAGTGCCTAGGTTTGGTAACGGAAACGTCCGTTTACCACTGGGATGTCTTCGACCCTACCCAGTCCCAGCCACTCAAGATTTTCGACCGACTCCCTAACCTGAGCGTACGTCATATCTGTCATACACAAATATGAACTAGTGAATGGAGCTGGAAAGCTGATATATCGATGTTTCATAGGGGTGCCAAATTATCAACTATCGCGTTAATGATGATGAGAAATGGATGGTAGTAGTTGGAATCAGTCAGCAGCAGGGGCGTGTTGTGGGCTCGATGCAGCTGTACTCCAAGGAACGCGGGATTTCGCAGTTTATTGAAGGACATGCTGCCGCCTTCGCGTCGATTCGAGTTGAGGGTTCTCCTTTGGAACATAAGCTCTTCACCTTTGCCGTTCGGACCCAGACTGGTGCCAAGTTGCAGATCGCCGAGATTGACCACCAAGAACCGAACCCCCGATTCCAGAAGAAGGCTGTTGAGGTATATTTCCCCCAGGAGGCTGTCAATGACTTCCCGGTGGCGATGCAAGTATCCCGGAAGTACGATGTCGTGTATCTTGTCACCAAGTATGGTTTCATCCATCTCTATGACCTCGAGACTGGTACCTGCATTTTCATGAACCGTATCTCTAGCGAGACCATCTTCACTACCGCACCCGACTCAGATTCGGCTGGCTTGGTTGGTGTGAACCGCAAGGGTCAGGTTCTGTCCGTCAGCGTTGATGAAAACACCATTGTTCAGTACTTGATGGAGAACCCTGCTATGTCTGGGCTTGCAGTGAGGCTTGCCTCCAAGGCTGGACTTCCCGGTGCGGACCACCTGTACCAGCAACAGTTTGACAACCTCCTTGCCCAGGGCAACTACTCCGAGGCTGCTAAGATCGCCGCAAACTCGCCCCGCGGATTCCTACGCACTCCAGAAACCATCAACCGTTTCAAGAATGCTCCTCAGACCGGACAGCAAATGTCTGTTATCCTCCAGTACTTTGGAATGCTTTTGGACAAGGGATCTCTGAACAAATACGAGAGTGTTGAGCTCGTTCGTCCCGTCTTGCAGCAAAACCGGAAGCATCTCCTTGAGAAGTGGATGCGCGAGGAAAAGCTGGAGGGCTCTGAGGAACTTGGAGATATTGTTCGACCTTATGACATGAACCTGGCGCTGCAGATTTACTTGCAAGCCAATGTTCCTCACAAGGTCATTGCTGGCTTTGCAGAGACTGGACAGTTCGATAAGATTCTCGCGTACTCCAAGCAGGTCGGTTATCAGCCTGACTATACCCAGCTGTTGCAGCATATTGTGCGTGTGAACCCTGAAAAGGGTGCCGAGTTTGCTACTCAGCTTGCCAACGAGGAATCGGGTGCGTTGATTGACTTGGACCGTGTTGTGGACGTATTCTTGTCTCAGAACATGATCCAGCAGGCGACTTCCTTCTTGTTGGATGCCCTCAAGGATAACAAGCCTGAGCATGGTCATCTGCAGACACGGTTACTTGAGATGAATCTGGTCAACGCCCCTCAAGTGGCCGATGCTATCCTTGGCAACGAGATCTTCACTCACTACGACCGTCCCAGAATATCCCAGCTGTGCGAGAATGCCGGCCTCATCCAACGCGCCCTGGAGAACACTGATGATCCTGCAGCCATCAAGCGTAATATCGTCCGCACTGACAAGCTAAGCCCTGAATGGTTGATGAGCTACTTCGGCCGTCTTTCTGTTGAGCAGACTCTCGACTGCATGGATACGATGTTGCAGGTGAACATCCGTCAGAACCTACAAGCCGTTGTTCAGCTTGCCACCAAGTTCTCCGATCTCCTGGGTCCTGGTAGCCTCATCAGCCTTTTTGAGAAGTATCGTACTGCCGAAGGTCTTTACTACTATCTTGGAAGCATCGTTAACCTCAGCGAGGACCCCGAGGTTCACTTCAAGTACATCGAAGCTGCTACCGCTATGGGCCAGGTTACTGAGGTTGAGCGTATTTGCCGTGAGAGCAACTACTACAACCCCGAAAAGGTGAAGAACTTCCTGAAGGAGGCCAAGTTGACGGAACAGCTCCCACTGATCATTGTCTGCGATCGATTCAACTTTATCCATGACCTCGTTCTCTATCTGTACCAGAACCAGCAGTACAAGTCTATTGAGGTCTACGTACAGCGTGTCAACCCTTCCCGTGCTCCGGCAGTAGTTGGAGGGTTACTGGACGTTGATTGCGAAGAGAGCATTATCAAGAACCTTCTCTCTACGGTGGATCCAGCCGTTATCCCGATTGATGAGCTTGTCAACGAGGTGGAGACTCGGAATAGGCTCAAGCTGCTCTTGCCTTTCCTTGAGGCTACTCTCGCAACGGGTAATCAGCAACAGGCTGTATACAATGCTCTTGCGAAGATCTATATCGATAGCAATAATGACCCCGAGAAGTTCCTCAAGGAGAATGATATGTATGACACTTTGACTGTCGGCAAGTACTGTGAGAAGCGCGATCCGAACCTGGCCTATATCGCGTATAGAAAAGGTCAAAACGACTTGGAGCTCATCAACATCACCAACGAGAACGCCATGTATCGGGCCCAGGGACGCTACCTCGTTGAGAGGGCTGATCCAGAAATCTGGTCTTTCGTTTTGAGCGAAAACAACGTTCACCGCAGGTCCATGGTTGACCAGGTCATCGCAACTGCAGTGCCTGAATCGACGGAACCTGACAAGGTGTCTGTTGCTGTTAAGGCCTTCCTTGAAGCAGACATGCCTGGTGAGCTTATCGAACTGCTGGAGAAGATTATCCTTGAGCCATCACCTTTCAGTGATAATGGCAGCTTGCAGAATCTGCTTATGCTCACCGCTGCCAAGGCTGACAAGGGCCGCCTGATGGATTATATTCATCAGCTCAACGAATTCAGCCCTGATGAGATTGCGGAAATGTGTATCTCGGTTGGCTTGTACGAGGAGGCTTTCGAAATTTACAAGAAGGTCAACAACTACATTGCCGCCGTCAATGTCCTTGTCGAGAACATTGTTAGCATTGATCGTGCCCAAGAGTTTGCCGAGCGTGTTGAGTTGCCGGATGTATGGAGCAAGGTTGCCAAGGCACAACTGGACGGTCTTCGTGTGTCTGACTCGATCGAGTCGTACATTCGCGCTGGTGACCCCTCGAACTACCTTGAGGTCATTGAAACCGCAACCCACGCTGGCAAGGATGAGGATCTCGTTAAGTATCTCAAGATGGCACGCAAGACCTTGCGAGAACCCCCTATTGACACTGCTCTGGCCTTCGCCTACGCGCGCCTCGATCAGCTCTCGGAACTTGAGGACTTCTTGCGGTCGACCAATGTTGCGGATGTTGAGACATCTGGTGACAAAGCCTACGAGGAAGGCTACCATGAAGCTGCCAAGATCTTCTACACTAGTATTTCGAACTGGGCCAAGCTTGCCACAACCTTGGTACACTTGGAAGACTACCAAGCTGCGGTGGAGTGTGCCCGCAAGGCCAACAGTGTCAAGGTCTGGAAGCAGGTCAACGAAGCGTGCGTCAACAAGAAGGAGTTCCGTCTTGCCCAGATCTGTGGTCTTAATCTCATCGTCCATGCCGAAGAGCTACAGGATCTTGTTCGTCAATACGAACGCAACGGCTACTTTGATGAACTTATCTCTGTTCTGGAGGCTGGCTTGGGCTTGGAGAGGGCCCACATGGGTATGTTCACTGAGTTGGGTATTGCCCTCTCCAAGTACCATCCTGATCGGGTCATGGAGCACCTCAAACTCTTCTGGTCCCGTATCAATATCCCTAAGATGATCCGGGCTTGCGAGGATGCCAGCCTCTGGCCAGAGCTGGTGTTCTTGTACTGCCACTATGATGAGTGGGACAACGCCGCATTGGCAATGATGGAGCGTGCTGCCGACGCTTGGGAACATCACTCATTCAAGGACATCATTGTCAAAGTCGCTAATCTTGAGATCTACTATCGTGCGCTCAACTTCTACCTGCAAGAGCAGCCTTTGCTCCTTACCGATCTGCTCCAGGTTTTGACAGCTAGGATTGACGTCAATCGTGTTGTTCGCATCTTCCAGTCCTCAGATAATATCCCCTTGATAAAGCCCTTCCTCTTGAATGTCCAGACCCAAAACAAGAGGGCCGTGAACGATGCCATCAATGACCTCTTGATCGAGGAGGAAGATTACAAGACCCTGCGCGATTCAGTGGATAACTACGACAACTTCGACGCTGTGGAACTGGCTCAGCGCCTGGAGAAGCACGAACTGATCTTCTTCCGTCAGATTGCTGCGAACATCTACCGCAATAACAAGCGTTGGGAGAAGTCGATTGCGCTTTCGAAGCAGGACAAGCTCTATAAGGATGCAATCGAGACTGCAGCGCTCTCGGGCAAGGCCGAGGTGGTGGAAGAACTCCTTCGCTACGTAAGTTTCTGGCTACACCCTACTTGTGGAAGTGTTTTGCTAACTCTCTATCCTAGTTTGTGGACATTGGCAGCCGGGAATGCTACGTTGGTATGCTGTATGCCTGTTACGACCTTATCCGTCCCGATGTGATCATGGAGGTCTCGTGGCGCCACGGCCTTCACGATTTCACCATGCCCTACATGATCAACTTCCTGTGCGAGCAGACGCGTACGATCGAGATGCTCAAGAAGGACAATGAGGAACGCAAGAAGCGCGAAGTCACACAGAAGACCGAAGAGGACAACACACCGATTCTGGGTGGCTCGCGGCTGATGTTGACCCAGGGTCCAGCGGCGCCCGTGCCAAGTCCTATGCCATATCAACAGACCAACGGGATCACGCCGCAGGCCACCGGCTTCCGCCCGTTCTAGACACGTACGCATCTTACGCCTCCTTTGTTAGCTGAAGAATTTCTTTTTTTTTCTTTTTCTTTTTTTCTTTTTCTATTTGTCTTTATTCCCTCTTCCAGTGGGGTTTCGTGTATGTATAGCATAAGCCATGGATGATCTGCCGTTGATCTTGGTGAGACTAAAAAACGGAGAGAGTCGTAGAGGATGTCCACCGGGGGTGGTCCTTTCGCAGACTTTGATGGATGTCGTTTATTTTCTTATTCCATAATTCTCTCTTCCTTTGTTCTTTTCTTCTATGCCCATCGATCCCCTGTATTTGATAGTCTTCGAGAATTCTTGATGATGAACCGTGCAGTACGCTCACGGGAAGCATTTCTTTTTAGTTAATGGCATTGTTTTCTTGACGTGACGACGTTGCCCCCCGGGGGGTTACATCTTACCCTCGCCAGTAGGAAGGGGGACAATTATCCCACATAATTTGTGGAGATCCCTAGTTAGTTCGATCGCACCACATCGGTGGAAAGGAAGTAGAAGAAAGGTAAGCCGGTTAAAAGAATGGAGGGTGGTCTGGATGGGAGTGACCTTAGCCGTGGGGGTGGATAAATTTAGGAGGAGTGAATGTATGTATCGTATCTAATGGATGGACAGTCGGAGGAAGTTACGGAGAAATGGATGGATCAGACGGACATATATGAGATGCGACGCTTGCTGCAGGAGAAGGTGCATTATCTCGAAGATGCCCAGACTGAGCTACAGGACATGCCAATGTTCTCGGTGTGACGGTTTCGGTAACCTTTGCCAAGGGTCACTCTCCCTCACGGGGAGCGAATTCTGCCCGAGATTTGTCCAGGTCACGAGAAACAGCCAGAATCGAACGGGGGTGGAGCATGAGGTCAAGTTTGAAGTCACTAACCTCGGCCCAGGCCAAAACGAGACGTCCGGAAAGCGTTCTCCGGGGGTGGGTTTCCATTTGTAGATCCCTTTGCCTAAGCCCATCTGCAAATTTCGGCATCGCAGCTTTGCATCTGGGCTTCTGGCCCCTCCCGCTTGCGCCTATCTTCGGCCATACGCCATCGTTTCGAATAACGCGAACCCTCTTGAGGAAACTCGGCCATTTTGATTACCATTTCTTATTTCCTGTTTCTGTCCCCATGAGACATTTTTGATTTTATTTTATTCCATTCTATTGCGTTTCCAATTTTTTTTTTAGTTTTCGTTCTTCTCTTCCAATTCTTTTTCTTCTGCCTGGAAGGAATTAGCCCGAGGACCCGAGGTACAAACACATCGCAAGAAAACGTCTGGTCCCTGATCCTCCCGATTCAATTCGGCAATCTTAGGATTCACTACGAGGGAAATCATTGGAGGAAGCTTAGTTGATGGAGATGGTCTGGGAGCTGAGGAATAGACCACGGGCATCTTGTACCGGTTAATTATTGATTCACCATCTTTTTTTTATCTTCCTTTGCCGAGAATTGATCGCCCGTACGGGTTGGGATCATGCGGATAAGAAAATAAAAAAGAAAAAAAAAAGGTAAAACTATGACATTGCATAAATGAAGGATCATCCATTGGCCAATGATCTGGACCAACGGGAGTTCTCAATGAGTTGTATAGGTAGGCGTTAAATGGGCCAAGAGTTATAAATGATATTAGCATATAGAATTGGGAGCGGAAGGGGAAAAAAAATAATTGAAAATCAAAAAGTAAAAATTTCAACGGGTAGTTACCTAAACAAAGAAACAAGAGGTTGGTCCCCATCACTTGGTAAGCATTATGGGGAAGACTATCGAGGAGGGGGGAATTATTTGCAGACTATGAGAGTGGGGACCGTGGGACGTCATCCATGGCATTGGAAGTGGTATTCTTGGACTATTTTGCCCTTGGCACCTGGGAGGTGTGACCGGTGTGCCGGTGAGATCAAGAGGATAGGATCATTCTTCCCTGAAGGGTTTCGGTACGCACCAGAGATGAAGTGATAAGAAACACTCTGTACGGAGTAGGATTGACTTTTTGATGTCATGTGAAGCTGCAAATCAATGGTTAGAGTTAGCGTAACCTACTAGTAGGGTAGTTCACGTATCGGATCTGTATGGTCACTGTCACTATCACTGTATGTCTTGTATGTTCTTGTATGGGATGTTCCACATCGAGGCCTGAGGCAGACACCCGCCCCTCCTCGTCCCCTCCCCGTGCTTTTCTTTATCAGTTTCCCAATCTTCTTTGCCCTCCGTTTGACATATTAGACCAGTCCTCTCTCTCGCATCCTTTTCCTTCCCCCCCTTTTTTTTCTGTTCTTTCTTCTTCTACAAATACTCAAATCTTCTCCTCTCTCATCAAACCCTCTCCCCTCACTCTCCAAGTAGAGAGGCCTAGGCTCGATATCTTTTCGGGTCAACTCCAACGATCTACCCCTCATAGTATTTCTCCCCCCGCGTTCTTCCTCAGATTCCCGTTCCGAAACCGGGAGATTTTCTTCCCCTCCGCGAGCTGTCCGGCGGAAAGCTACTCTTCGTCTCCGCTAGCTAGAGGTGACTCACTGCTACTTCCCGGACCCATTGGTCTCGCCTCTAACTTTTAAACCCCTGGGGTGTCCTTCTAGAACATCTTGTTTCTCTCTTCTCCCTCCCCGCTCCAGTCTTACTCTATCCCCTCCTCCTCCTTCTAACCCTCCTCCCCCCACACCTTTCACATCACCTCCCACCATGGCGGCTCCGTTTCGTCAGCCTGAGGAGGCGGTCGATGACACCGAGTTCATCGATGACCACCATGAACACCTCCGTGATACCGTGCACCATCGGTTGCGCGCCAATTCGTCCATTATGCACTTCCAGAAGATCCTTGTCGCCAACCGTGGTGAGATCCCCATTCGTATCTTCAGAACGGCCCACGAGCTGTCCTTGCAGACGGTCGCTATCTACTCTCATGAGGATCGACTGTCAATGCACCGTCAAAAGGCCGATGAGGCTTACATGATTGGCCACCGCGGTCAGTACACCCCTGTTGGTGCGTACCTGGCGGGCGATGAGATCATCAAGATTGCCCTGGAGCACGGTGTCCAGCTGATCCACCCGGGCTACGGTTTCTTGTCCGAGAATGCCGATTTCGCCCGCAAGGTTGAGAACGCCGGCATTGTCTTCGTGGGACCCACTCCAGATACCATTGACAGCCTGGGTGACAAGGTGTCGGCCCGTCGGCTGGCCATTCGCTGCCAGGTCCCTGTCGTTCCGGGTACGGAGGGCCCTGTCGAGCGTTATGAGGAGGTCAAAGAGTTCACAGACACCTATGGCTTCCCCATCATCATCAAGGCTGCCTTTGGCGGTGGTGGCCGTGGTATGCGTGTAGTCCGTCACCAGGCCGAGCTGCGTGACTCGTTCGAGCGAGCCACCTCCGAGGCCCGCTCCGCCTTCGGCAATGGCACCGTCTTCGTCGAGCGTTTTCTCGACAAACCCAAGCACATTGAAGTCCAACTTCTGGGTGACAGCCATGGCAACGTCGTCCATCTGTTTGAGCGTGACTGCTCCGTGCAGCGTCGTCACCAGAAGGTCGTCGAGGTCGCGCCGGCCAAGGACTTGCCCGCCGATGTCCGGGACCGCATCCTGGCAGATGCCGTAAAGCTGGCCAAGTCCGTCAACTACCGCAACGCCGGTACAGCTGAGTTCCTGGTGGACCAGCAAAACCGCCACTACTTCATTGAAATCAATCCCCGTATCCAAGTCGAGCACACCATCACCGAAGAGATCACTGGTATCGATATCGTGGCTGCACAGATCCAGATCGCTGCGGGTGCAAGCCTCGAGCAACTGGGCCTGACCCAGGACCGCATCTCCGCCCGCGGATTTGCCATTCAATGTCGTATTACCACCGAAGACCCCGCCAAGGGATTCTCTCCGGATACTGGTAAGATTGAGGTTTATCGTTCCGCTGGTGGTAACGGTGTCCGTCTGGACGGTGGTAACGGTTTCGCTGGTGCTATTATCACCCCTCACTACGACTCCATGCTGGTCAAGTGTACCTGCCGTGGTTCGACCTATGAAATCGCTCGTCGCAAGGTTGTGCGTGCCTTGGTCGAGTTCCGTATTCGTGGTGTGAAGACCAACATCCCCTTCCTGACTTCGCTTCTGAGCCACCCGACCTTCGTCGATGGAAACTGCTGGACCACTTTCATCGATGACACCCCTGAATTGTTCTCTCTCGTCGGCAGTCAGAACCGTGCCCAGAAGCTGCTCGCATACCTCGGCGATGTAGCCGTCAACGGCAGTAGCATCAAGGGCCAGATAGGCGAGCCCAAGCTCAAGGGCGATGTCATCAAGCCGAAGCTGCTCGATGCCGAGGGCAAGCCGCTTGACGTTTCCGCCCCCTGCACTAAGGGTTGGAAGCAGATCCTGGACCAGGAGGGCCCGGCTGCCTTTGCGAAGGCCGTGCGTGCCAACAAGGGTTGCTTGATCATGGATACTACCTGGCGTGACGCCCACCAGTCTTTGCTGGCCACCCGTGTGCGTACCATCGACTTGTTGAACATCGCCCATGAGACCAGCTACGCCTACTCCAACGCGTACAGTTTGGAATGCTGGGGTGGTGCCACCTTCGATGTGGCCATGCGTTTCCTCTACGAGGACCCCTGGGATCGCCTGCGCAAGATGCGTAAGGCTGTTCCCAACATCCCCTTCCAGATGTTGCTCCGTGGTGCCAACGGTGTCGCCTACTCTTCCCTCCCAGACAACGCCATCTACCACTTCTGTAAGCAGGCTAAGAAGTGCGGTGTCGACATCTTCCGTGTCTTCGACGCTCTCAACGATGTTGATCAGCTCGAGGTCGGAATCAAGGCTGTTCATGCTGCCGAGGGTGTTGTCGAGGCCACCATGTGCTACAGCGGTGACATGCTGAACCCCACCAAGAAGTACAACCTGGAGTACTACATGGCCTTGGTGGATAAGATTGTGTCCATGAAGCCTCACATCCTTGGTATCAAGGATATGGCCGGTGTGTTGAAGCCTCAGGCCGCTCGCCTGTTGGTGGGCTCCATCCGTCAGCGCTACCCTGACCTCCCCATCCACGTCCACACCCACGACTCCGCTGGTACTGGTGTGGCCTCCATGATCGCCTGTGCCCAGGCAGGTGCTGATGCTGTGGACGCCGCGACCGACAGCATGTCCGGTATGACCTCCCAGCCTAGCGTTGGTGCCATTCTGGCCTCCCTTGCGGGCACTGAGCAGGACCCCGGTCTCAACCTCGCCCACGTGCGCGCTATTGATAGCTACTGGGCACAGCTGCGCTTGCTCTACTCTCCTTTCGAGGCGGGTCTCACTGGTCCCGACCCTGAGGTCTACGAACACGAGATCCCTGGTGGTCAGTTGACCAACCTCCTCTTCCAGGCCAGTCAGCTCGGCTTGGGCCAGCAGTGGGCCGAAACCAAGAAGGCCTACGAGGCGGCCAATGATCTGCTCGGCGACATTGTGAAGGTCACTCCCACCTCCAAGGTGGTTGGTGACTTGGCTCAGTTCATGGTCTCGAACAAGCTGACCCCAGAGGATGTTGTTGAGCGCGCTGCTGAACTGGACTTCCCCGGTTCTGTGCTCGAATTCCTTGAAGGTCTCATGGGACAGCCCTTCGGTGGATTTCCCGAGCCATTGCGCTCCCGCGCCCTGCGCGATCGCCGCAAGCTCGAGAAGCGTCCAGGTCTCTACCTCGAGCCTTTGGATCTGGCTAAGATCAAGAGCCAGATTCGGGAGAAGTTTGGTGCTGCTACTGAGTACGATGTGGCCAGCTTCGCCATGTACCCCAAGGTCTTCGAGGACTACAAGAAGTTCGTCCAGAAGTATGGTGATCTCTCTGTTTTGCCCACACGGTACTTCTTGGCCAAGCCTGAGATTGGCGAGGAGTTCCACGTCGAGCTGGAGAAGGGTAAGGTGCTCATCCTGAAGTTGTTGGCCATCGGCCCTCTTTCCGAGCAGACCGGTCAGCGTGAGGTCTTCTACGAAGTCAACGGTGAGGTGCGCCAGGTCGCTGTTGATGACAACAAGGCTTCTGTGGACAACACTTCTCGCCCTAAGGCCGATGTGGGTGACAGCAGCCAGGTCGGTGCTCCTATGAGCGGTGTGGTTGTTGAGATCCGTGTCCACGATGGTCTGGAGGTTAAGAAGGGTGACCCACTTGCCGTCCTGAGTGCCATGAAGATGGTAGGTTCATTCCGATTCACTCTTGCTATCATTAGTCAGGTACAGATGCTAACAACTTATCTAGGAAATGGTTATTTCTGCTCCTCACAGTGGCAAGGTCTCCGGCCTACTGGTCAAGGAGGGCGATTCTGTGGACGGCCAGGATCTCGTCTGCAAGATCGTCAAAGCGTAAGCAAAATAAAAGCCAAAGAAAAAAAAAGCAGAAAAAGAAAAAGAGAGGGCTACCAAAACATGCCGCCAAAGTGCATGATGGAATGAATATTTGGATGTTTCATGTTCATATTAGAGCGTTGTTTCTCCCTTGTTTGCTATTTATCTGGGTCGGGTTCAAGATTCTCCTTTACGATAACAGGGGCCGAACAAAAAACAAAGGTCTCTTAGCCACCATATCTGAATTGAGTGACTTAATGATTTCATCTTATTTCAATCGCGACGTATATACATGCTACCTCGAATTGAGTGTAGCCTCGTGAGGATCTAGATTCAGACACATCCTTAGCCCCCACTCTATATATACCTAACATGATAGTACTTTGAAATTCAAAGTTTGGCAATAGGACCATTACCCTGTTCACCAATCGCCCTCAAGGCCTTCCACACTCGCATTGCCTCATCCCAGAGACCATCCTGCCAAATCTCCACCGATCCATCAGGTTTTAGCTTCCTCATCTCCCGGTAGCTCTTCGTGCCCCAACCAATACTCGATTCACCATGAACAAACTTAGTCAATGGATCGATAAACGCATTCTTAATGATCGACTTCTCATCAGCCTGGAGAACAGACCCATTCCCCCACCACCAGATATACTGATCCGTAGCATGCGTGACGCCCCATTCCGGAGGAATAGTCTCATCCGCACATTTCAGTCGGTACTCAATGCGGTAACGATACAGGAGATGGGCAGCACCACCCAGCACGAGAGAATGCACGAGTCCCCGCTGCATCTGATACACCTGCATATCAGCATAGATACGACCGAACGCATCGCAACTCCAGTCCCGACATCCGGAGGGCAATTTGCTGTCTGGGTAGTATAGTTTCATCAGCGTATCGACAAGGGGAGCCGAGTAATCTGCTAGGAGACGCTTGTAGAGCGATGAATGGTCGTTCTGGGGCGGGTACCAGGTGGCGTAGAGGGCACCTTCGTCGCGACATTCGCCGAGCATGATGCGAATGTTGCGGGCGGCGATACGGCGGCCGATGTTGCCGTTGTCGAGGGATTGGAAGATGGTAGGCTGGATGAAGAGGGAGTCTGTCGTGGGACGGAATTGGTTGATTTCGAGGCTTGTTGCTGTGGAGAGGAGCTTGGAGCTTGGGACAGAGCGGAGTCGGGCGAGCTTATCGGTCCAGGGGAGCGTGTGGGGGATGTTGAGGGCGGAGAGGAGCTCGTTGAATTGGGTTTGGGCGGATGATGGGGCCTTGGGTTGGGCTACTGGACTGTTGGACCAGATGCAGGCTTGTTTGATGATTGATTGCTCTTCTGGAAGGTGGATATCGTAGGATAATTGGTAGAAGACGGAGTAGGCACCTTTTTGCCGGGTCATGAGTTAGGATATATAGTTCATTTGTATATTCGGAGGAGATTGGAAGGTTGCTTACCGGCTGAATATCCCGATATGGTGATTTGGGAGGGATTGCCTCCGAAGAGGGCTATGTTGTCTCTTGTCCATTCGAGGGCTAAACGTTGGTCCCAGAATCCTTGGTTTCCGACTGGCTCACTGACCGTGGCGGCATCGTTCTCGAGCTCTGAGGAGTACAGGAAGCCAAAGACGCCCAGACGGTATGCTGGCATAACAATGATAGCATCAAATGCTGCCTCACCTAGTAGAGCGCCGGCGGAGAAAGAATTAGGGGTTCCGAATTGCAGGAAGCCTCCGTCTGTTACATGACTTTGATTAGCCTTTGCGATGAGGCATTCGTCCAAGGAAACTTACGGATAAAGACGAGGACTGGCCATCCTGTAGAAAAACAAAGCTACTATTAGTTTTGCTCTATTCTCTTCTCTCCTGGGAGGAGGAGGTTATGAGCTGAGACGACATACCATCCTTGGGTGGTTCACCAGAGGGAACCCAAACATTGCATTGAAAGCAATCCTCACTCCAACCATCGCTGAGGGAAAGGCCCGGGAAGCTAGGCTGAGGGCAGACGCCAGTTGCTCCAGCACATTGCGCCGGGCGGTCTTTGCTACCATAGGAATACGATGGTGGTAATCTCTGCGCTTTCCGCCATCGTTCAGTCGGGGGCAAGGCGTAGCGGAGACCTCCGAAGTAATGACACCAGGGGGCATTGGTAGTCCTATCTGTGAGGGTAACACCCTGTATAAATCCCCGGTGTTCGAGGGATTTTAAGTAAGGATTCCGCAAGGGTTCCATGATGTGTAAGTGCTGGAATGCGCGGCTCAAATGTTTTATTTTTCAGACACGTCGACTTGCGTACCCCGACTCGGGTTAGAACTTGTAAGGAACCAATTGATATCTGGTAGACCAGTTTTACACGAAGAAAGACTCCTGACTAGATGCTATTGCCGTGTTATATAGCTACCGAGTCCATGCAACTGGTGAAAGTCTCCCGGCGCAATGACCCCAAACATGGCGCCGATAACAGGTTTGATAGCCGAGTAGATAAAGCAGGTGGGGCTGTTGGAGAAGGCTAGAGCAACTCATAGTTGAGAGCCGATCGGGTCGGCAAAGGCACCCTGTGGGAGGAATAGATATGATAGATGAGGAGAAAACTAAAGAGAGAGAAGGTTTGGAGGTTGTATGGGCTTGGGGGAGAAACTATAGAGTATGTCCGGTCGTCTCGTTCCGCTTCGGCGCTACATCTGGATCCCGGTGAATGTCCGAGGCAGCGATGCCTTCCCCACGGAGGTCGTCAACCAATAGACACAATATCAGTCCTATTGGATCAGTCGCATGATTCCGAGATCATTCCGCGCAGGAAGATCATTAAAGTCGATGATGTCTCTGGAGAGAGCGGAACTCAAGTCACACGCTATGTACGAGGATCTACATCTTATCAGCCATTTTACCCCAAGCCCTAATCTGATAGTAACTTAATATAGCCCTTGACGATGCGAACCAACAAGCACTATTGCTGACATTATCAAAAGTTCATCTGGCGAAATCCATGGGAAGGTCAGTCTAACTGTGATTAACCCACCGAATATAACAGCTAACTATTGGACCCCAGTCGAGTATTATGTGGCCTTCAACCTTGGGAATTCAAAGTTTCATTTGCTGCGATCCCCGCATTTGGCAAGCTCACCTGACGTCAAGCCGCCATCAATGATCGTCCAATGTTCCCATTGAATTATACATCAGTCTACGCTGATTGATCACAACCAGATTAATTGAACCGTTTGGCCTAAGTGGATCTGGACGCCTCTATTCCCGCGCCAATAATGATGAATCATCAACGTCTTTGGTTCATCTAGAGCTCCCAAAGACCCCAGGCAGTTACGAGGCCTCCATGAATAATGATTGGATCACCGGGGGTATTTGCCCCCTGCCAGCACTATAGTAGGGAACATACTCCTGGGATGATGTATCATTCATCCAGACTTTGTTTCATGCCTGGAGTGGCCCTTTCCCTTACCCCTCTCTCTCTGGGCCACCCCGGTATCGTGCCATATATTACGGTCGCGTGTCCGGTGGTGGCTCGTTCCTCTTCAGATACATACATTGGTTTGAACATCCTCCATCCGTTTATCTATCAATCTTATCGACTTGGTAAGTTTGCTGAACTTATGAAATGTTCCATCTTGTGTTTTGATACTCGCATTTGTTGGCACACAGTGACTTTTCTTTTTCCGGCACCGAACCCAAAGGATGACGTCTGGGACTCTTGGAACAGCATCTAATACATCATTCGTCATCCTTTTGCCTTGATAATTGAAATACTTGACTTCTTAATCATCTACATACTTTCTTACAATTCATTCGTCTATTAACACAAACATCGCATCACGTATTTAACGAGAACAGCAGCTAATATATGCATAGATATAAGAAGTCACTGAAGTCTTGAAACAAGCAACATGAACAACCAGCAGAACAACCCTCAGTCTCCTCGCCATTGGCACGGCAACGTGGGTGATCGCTATGAGCACCACAATGTCTGGGTGACAGGCGGCCCTCCCCAGCCATACATGGCTCGACGGCCTTCTGCCGCCGAAGCAGCAAGTGTCACAGATAACAGACGTGTACGTCTGCTCAGACTTTCATCGAACTCTCTCGCATCTATATATTGTCTTGACTCTGAGGCTGACTGTCCTTAAAATCCAGGAATCTGTCTCGTCTAACATGTCTTCCGGCTCTAACAGCCCCCCAACTGCTCCAAACAGGAGACGGTCTAGTCAGGGTTCGTCCCTCTTCGAAAGTCTGACGAACCAGAAGCGGAACTCCACGGATCCTGCTTCGGCCGCACGCCGGGCGAGTTACAATGACCAGGCGCAACAGGGCGGTTTCTTTTCGAAGTGGTGGGAAGGGTATACTCGTGGTTCTAAATAAGCCAATATCGACTTCACGCTATGGAGCAAGGCAGAATGATTAACTGGATGGGAATTTATTATGTTGAACGTTTATATGACTATATGCCGAAGAGTTTTTTTGCTTGATCTTGTATTTATTCGATCGTATACAAGCATATCGTGTTAATTGAAGTGGATCAATATAGGGAGATGCTCCATAAATTGATAGCTTTAGAGTTCGTTTACCACGTCTTAGTTTGGTTACAAGACTTTTAAGAAATGGCGGTCCGACTGTCCTCACGTCACTAGTCAAGTAGCCAGCATGAAACGTAGCCCAGGGTTATACTTGCAGACTTCGCAATTTAATATGGGACTACCCCAATGGAAACACTAGTGATCCCATATGATTAACGGCGTTTCGAGATGGGCCCACAATCTACGATATGCTCTTGATCATGACCCACATAGTTGATATCTTTCTTGACTACAGGAAGAGTTTACAACGAGCTGATTTACGGCATACTCTCAAGGCGAGCATGGAGCCGGGCTGTTTCCGTACCATCCATGTTGGCCTAAGAGCAGAGGAGCACACTGCCACAGGGGACAGTGAGAAGGACATGTTCTTGGACTCTGAAAAGAGATCCAACGGCCAAATAGCCACCATTATCACACTGAGTGTGATGGGGCAAGCATCATGCAAATCTTTTCATCAATGGTTATGCGGATACATCACCCTTTGTGAAGCCTTCATTGTGAAAAGTGGATGCGTTTTTTTGAACTTGAGAATTTGGATTCCTAACACGCCTATCCTCATGCCGTGGTAGAAACAAGTATTTCAAAGCAGAACGGCATTTTTTCTGCCTGTTTTTATTGATTCATCATAAACGCAACCCCCTGGCTCCCCCAAAGACCAGAAATGAAACATTTACCGGACAATTCCGTCGAAGCGGTTCTTGAACCACTTGATGGTCTCGGCCTGGTTGATGCGGTGAGGAGCACCGACACGGGCCTTGCAGCGGCGACGCTTAGCGACACGCTCACCAGGGCGGGTCCTGATCCATGTGTGAGTTTTTGACCTTTGCTGACCGTTCCTGGTTATACTCACATGCAGCAGTAGAAGTCCATGCCGTAGATACCAATACCAGGGTCGTACTTGATACCAAGATCGATGTGCTCGTTGATACCGAAGCCGAAGTTGCCGGTCTCGGAGAAGTTCCTCTTGCGGAGCTCGTACTCCTTGACCTTAAGACCACGCTCAAGGATCTCCTCGGCCTTGGGGCCACGGACGGTGACGTGGACGGCGATCTTTTCGTTACGACGGATACCGAAGGTACGGACAGTGTAGCGGGCCTTGCCTATGAATCACGGAAAAAAACTCCCATCAGCCATTCCATTCGAAATATATCGTACTGTTTTCCATATCCTCCATGGTAAAATCAAAAAAACTTCGGATCGAGGCGCCCTTACTGTAGACAGGAGTCTGACCGCTCAGCTGCTCGAGCACCTTAGCAGCACGGGTAAGTCTGTCACCAGACTCTCCGACACTGATGTTAAGCACGAGCTTCTGGATGCGCAGCTCGCGCATGGGGTTCGCGCTCTTGTCCTTTCCGTCCGACTGCATGGCGATAAAACGTTAGAAAAAAAAATTCTCCGGCGATTAGAGTAGTTGATTTGGTGAAATGGAACATACCATGGCGACTACTTTGGCGTGTATGGTCGACTCGTGTGATTAGAAGATTCGGAGGGAAGATCGAAAAGTGAGTAAAAGGGAATGTGCGGGCAGAGTGGGAAGCGAGAAGCCCTTAGCGTCTTGGCACGGTCGGCTGGCGCTAAACCGCAGAGCCGCGTCTAAGTCACGACACCCGCAGAGCTTCAGGAAGTTTGAGCGGGTGAGCTCGTGCCAGCAAGTCCTCCACTTTCTTGACGGGCGCGCAAGCTCAAAGTGAACGTTCAGTAGGAGCTTTCTTCTACTACTTCACACATATTCTTTGGTTCATATATTAAGCCGCATTCGTGCGCATCTTTCAGGCAAAATGGCTGCCAACAAGCAGGGCAAGATGGTAAGTTTGATTTGATTAATCTTTTGTTGCGGTCCAGACCTTTTCTTAAAGTACCTCAAGAATGGTATTGGCTAACTTGTTTGAATTGGTAGCAAAACCTCGTAAGTCACAATGCGCTTCTTTTACCATCCGCCCGCTGAAGTCTAATGTCCTGTAGATCAACTATCGGATGAGAGTTACCCTTAACGATGGCCGACAGATGACCGGACAAATGCTCGCATTTGATAAGGTACATTGACTCTCAATTATCATCTGCCTTGATTGAACCTTTTCATTAACAGTGACACTTTAGCACATGAACCTCGTCCTCGCCGATACAGAAGAATTCCGCCGCGTCAAGCGGAAGTCCAAGCCAGCTCCTGGACCGGCTAACGCTCCCCTCGTGGAATCGGAAGAGAAGCGAACCCTCGGTCTTACGATTGTGCGCGGTACCCACGTCGTCTCTTGTTCTGTTGATGGACCTCCTCCCGCAGACCCCTCTGCACGACTTGGAACAAGCGCCCCAGGCGCTGCTGCTGCCGCAGCCACTCTCGCCGCCGGTCCTGGAATCAGCAAACCCGCTGGACGTGGTCTACCTGTCGGACTTGGAGGCCCTGCTGCCGGTGTTGGAGGACCCCCACCTCCTGGCGGCTTCCCTGGTTTCCCTCCTGGTGGTTTTCCAGGAGCGCCGCCACCGGGATTCGCTGGCCGTGGAGCGCCTCCGGGAGGACCTCGTAAGTTTTATTGGCGCTGAGATATGCTTTGTAAGTAGGCAGGTTACTGACTTTCACTTAGCTGGTTTCGCTCCTCCCCCAGGATTTGCGCCTCAGGGCGGACCTCGTAAGTGACTGACTTGGTTCATACGTCATACGTCATAGGCTAATTGGTATTGTGCAGCGGCCGGTTTCCAACCCCCTCCAGGATTCCAGCCTCCGGGCCAGGGACGTGGATTCCCTCCACCAGGATTTGGAGGACGGTGAAGCTCGCATGTCGAGCGGCACAATCGCTTACAATATTCCGACCCCGAGTGAAACATGGCGGCCTACTAGTGTTGGGATAAGAAATACGCATCCTATTCATATACCTGTTCGATGATTAGGCATAGCACACCGAGTTTTACCAGGCAAAGGCGTTGCGGCGTGTGCGGATGCAGGGAATGCCCGAGTAATAGCAAAGGTCGACCTTCAAAAAAAAAGTCGAGGACCAACAGAAGTAATGTTACATAGGTTTAAACGCTTAGTACTTATTCCCCCTGCGAATCATACACGGTCATTTCCATGAATTTCTTGTTCGTCCAATCGTAGGCCAATGCTCCGTAATCGAACTGATATTGATGACCCCGGCAATTGTCTCACGTGACTAGGTCCGGGTAACTCCGCCCGGCAATGATTCCGCAGTCGGTGACGCCGAGCAAGTTCAGTTACTGTCTTCCTGTTCCTGATCACTCTCCACTCCCTTTCCCTACCCCATCTCCAGTCAAGATGGCCGCTGCAATCAAGGCAATCAACGCAAAGATCCGTTCCAACAAGGTTCTGGACTATGTCTGCTCTACACGTAAGTGCAATCCCAATCCATGCCATGGTTCCCTTCTCGACCGAGATCGGCCTGTATCAAGTCTTGCATCCGTAATACAGAAAGGGATAATGATCCATGGGCTCTTGCTATGGTTGCCCTTGGTCCTTATCATGGCGTCACTGAAATCATTCTCAAATGAAAGAGCAATGTCTAATGTAGCCTATCTTACCAGATTTCTGGGGCCCCGTCTCCAACTTCGGTATCCCTGTTGCTGCTGTGATGGACACCCAAAAGGACCCTGAAATGTACGCGCGACCACCTTTTCATCCCGTTCTTCTACCCGGCGCAGCTTTATTACCCTCATCATGCAAGACTATGACAAGAAATACATAATTAACCCAACCAATAGCATCTCCGGCCAGATGACCGGCGCCCTTGTTGTCTACTCGGGAACCTTCATGCGCTACGCCCTCGCCGTCTCCCCTAAGAACTACCTCCTCTTCGCTTGCCACGCCATTAACTTCTCCGCCCAATGTACTCAAGGGTACCGCTACCTCAACTACTGGAAGTATGTTGCCCTTGATACTTAGAACCTGTGACGGAAGGGGACTGAAGAGGCTAACGTAATGTAATAGCTGGGGAGGCCGTGAAGCTAAGCTCGCCGCTGAAGCCGCTGCGAAGGGCTCGCAGGCCCCCGAGGCTGGCGCATAAACGATCCAAACCTTGCTTTACCTGCCGTGTGGCTGAGAAAAATGGGTGCCCGTTTTCAATCAGTAGTAGATTTAGACCTCATAAGAGACAAGTGGCCAATGGATGGCGATTTGTGGAATACAGATCGGATCGGATGCAAGAGGCTGGCCTCATTTAACACTGGTTTTCTTTGGGTAGAAGAATGGATTGCGTGCGGCTTGGGCCGACTAATGGGTAGTTGGCCCTTCACCTGATTATTTTGATGGGCCGGCATTGGCAAAAGGGCCTTGAGGCTACTGGCCTTGTTTCTAGCATGTTTTCGTAGCATTGCGCTGTGGTATAGTGCAGCTTGCATGGCGAGGGTTAAGGGCGTCTTTTGGCCTCTGCTGTCTCTACTGTTTTGTATATAACAATTTCAGGTGAAATCTCAATGAATTGAAGGGGAAAAAATCATGCTGTTTCTTTCGTATCATTCTTGTCTGTGCGGTATATTTGAAACAATTTGGTACATAGCAATGGCAAGTAGGATGGGTATTCACAGTGTACACCAATTTAACCACGGGGAATTCCATCTAGGACATTAGATAAAAGCAAGGCTAGGACAAGATATCAGGATAGTGTCCCGAAATTCAGTCTTGCTGTTCAAACAAAGCAAGTCTTATAACATAGCATCAGTCATTCATGTTCAAGAGGACGCCTACTCTGAGACGACCAAACGTTATAGATGTTCAAAGCGACGGAGAATCTGTTAACCAGACTTTGAGTCGCAGTATCCAGGTGATTGGGGAGCTCCTCCTCCGACCCAGTTTGCTAGAGTCAGTGAAGTCGTATAGAGGCAACTTATTACGCCAAAGATGGTAAGGGCAATGTCAGCGATCTGCTGTTTTCTTGAATGCGCACAGGCTCTCAGATGCAACAGAGGCTACAATAGACTAAGTTAGCGTTATGTGTCACCATTAAGCAAGTGAAATCTGGGGGCAAATACCGGGTATACGTAAATAAGTGGGACGCAGGCAAAGCTACCGACAAGTGAGACAAATTTGTCAAGATCGTCTGCTCCGCCCCACCCAACAAAAGCACAAATCATGACAAGGAAGAAGCGGAAACAGTTCTTCTGCCATTTGATCCTGGGGTTATACTTGCCGCTGCGTGTGAAGAGCTCATTCTCCATGATTCGGATGGCTGGGAAGAGCTGCAGGGGTGTGCTCAGCAGAATCGCAAGCGAATAGAGGAATTGGACACCATTCACGAACTTGTCGTCCTGAGGAAGGTTGAGAATAACCACCGTTTTCGTTGAAGATCCGTACGCAGCATAGCTCAGCGCACCAGCAGAGAGGAAAATAATCGTGATAATGACCATCACCCCAGCAAGAACACCGGGGAATTGCTGAGGACGCTTCATCGACTCTTGGATTGGGATGATGAGACCAATACCCTCGTAAGTGAAAATAGCCGTCCCGATGAAAAGCGTCCATGTGGATGGATTGAAGGATATGATATCCGAAACACCGCCTTGTGCAGAGATAGTCAGGATATCATAGTAGTACAGGTAGATCAGGCCAAGCAGGATGAAAACATCTGCAATTAGAGCCGTAAAGCCAAGCTTGCTGATATCGCGAATCAACGAAAGAGGTAAGAAGATGACCAGCTGTATCAAGACCATAAATTTGATGTCAATGAAGGACTTGCAGTTGCTGACAGCAAGGACAAAAGCCTGCAAATTCTCAGCAGTGAACACAATGTATGCAGACACGAATCCCAATTGACTCAAGACTATAGAACCAAGGATAATGCGTCGCATATGTTTTCCATAAAGGATGCCACCGATATCACCAAACGAGCCATCGATTTTCAGCCGGGTGTTGACAAGAAGTATGAAAGCATAGAAGCTGAGAAGTGACACACCAAGCAATACCAGACTACTAAAAAGCATACCGCCATTAAGGAAAGCTCTTGGAAGGAACAAGACCCCTGTACCAACGAAAGACTTGAGCAGAAGTAGAGCTGCCCCAGTCCTAGTGTTGGTTCCAGTGCCTCCGCGCGGCTTCCGTTTTCTTCTTCCAGGGGTCTCAGGACGAAGGAGGGCCGATCTTTCTCCCGGCTCTCTGCCATCCTCTTCCCAGGCATCAGAGAAGTACTCATCGGGCCCCAGCACTTCGTCATCCTCTTCTAGCTCCTCTCCCGCGAAGTGGCCGAAAAGAGTCAAAAATTCTAGGAAGCTGCTGGTTGGGAGCTGAGGTTGAGGCAGAGGAGGTTGTGGTCCCGGGCCATCAGGGCTTCCTGGAAGGTTTGAGGCTACAGTTCTCCGGATATAGTCTCTGCGGAATCCTCCTGGTATGCGAATGCTGTTGATGTTCATCGTCTCATCTTGTGGTGTGGGTCGATTTATGCTGAAACTCTTACTCCGATTGAATCTCGAAGGACTTCCTGCCTCTGCACCTTCTGCCCACCTGTAAACCTGCCTTGTAATGTCGCCTCCTTGAAGCTGCAAGCTGGAGAATTCCTCGTCATTTGCAGCATCCCCAGAAGCAGCATCATCTCGGCCCTCGACAGTGTTTTGCGGTAGTACTAAGTGCCTTTTGACGACTTCCGGATCTTCATACGGCCCTGCTGAATATTCTGAGCCTTCCCACCCGGGCTTATTGTCAAATGAACCATAGTTGGACCTGATTGGCTGAGCCTGCTGCAAGGCAGGGGAAGCAGTGCGTCTTGGCGGTGTCCCAAGCCTCGGAGGTGAGCGACCGAGGCTTTCTTGGAGGGCAGATGCGATCATGGATTGCCCAGGGCCTGGTAGAGACGATAGATTATCCACTTTCCGGATATCCTCACCTGTGCCTGTCGCTGGTTGGATCGGTACCGGCAATTGTCTGGTTGCATGGGGATATGAGCTAGATGGAGAAGGTACTGGAGACGCTAGCCGCGCAATCGAAATTTGCCTTGATGAAGCATCCGCTGAGGGAGAGCCAGGGCGCAATGCGCTCGTCGAGAGCGGTGTTGACTGACGAGGTTGAGATGAGGAACCCTCCCCATTGTCTGGATGTGTGGGTGAAGCCATGACTTGATATTGAACTATAAAGCAACACAGAAGAGCTTAAAGTTTCCTTAGTTTGATAATGAGGCTTTGCTATATTGACGCCCTCTACCTAGCGTTGCAAGACGCAAAGGGTTATAGCGAGCCGTATGTACTTGCAGGATAAACTTAAGAAAGAGCTGGTTTACAGTAGACCAGGACAAAGTAGAATCAATCTACTGTATGTTGTGTTCTCTTCGTAAACAAGCGAAGAGAAAGAAATAATAAAAAAGAAAGGAAAGGAAAAAAAAATATTTGGAAATCACTATTCGCCCAGCCACCTACTAGTAGCAACACAAACAAATTGAGAGAGACGAAGGAAGCTTCAGCTTTCCCTTGAGTCGATGACAATGGCAGTCACTGGACCGGACCGGCGGTGGGGTTTGCACTGTTTGTCTAGCTCGGCAGATGAGATCATGGCCAGCCATAGACCCATGCTTTTTTACTGCATTTTACTACTAGTAGTGGCGACCACTGCCACAAAAACCTTCTCGATCTAGTAGGTACTATAAGAGGTATCGTGTTTTCTCTTCTTTTCTGAAGCACGCGATTTCTTACAGTGTTTTAGTCGTTTTCTCCCACGTTTAACTCTGCTGGGGTTGCGCATTCTGCCAGTCCTTATCGAGGCTTCACTGTTTATTGTAGTGACATTCTGTCCCCACTTGCATTATTGTATGAAAGTACCGAGTATTCTCTTGCGAGAAGAAGTTGGACGTATCCGATGACGCACAGCCGAGACGAGGGCACCTCGGACTCGATGTCTCGGAGAAGGCCCAACTTCTCAACACGAACTGCTCAAGAGGATGTCTCTAGATTGGCTCCAAGCGAGTCCCCAACTGCATCTCCCGAGGAGAACAGCAGATTCCTCAATTGGAGAAATGCGCTTTCACTTCGCCCGTATGAGCCATTGAACTCCTCTTTCCATACAACAGAGCGTCAGCGCCACTCGTTGCCCTCGAATTTCTTTGGTAGTATATCCCACTGGTGGGACAAACCCGACAATGATGGTCCGCAAGGTACCTCGAACAGATCACACCTACCCGTGGACCTTCCTACAGGGCCTCTCCGAGACTCTAGCTTGGACCAAAAAGAACGAGATGGCCAAAATTATCGGGCTTCCGATAGTGCTGCAAAGCTCGGAACTTTCTCGGGAGTCTTTGTACCGACCACTTTGAACGTCCTGAGCATACTGATGTTCCTTCGCTTCGGATTTATCCTTGGGCAAGCCGGTCTGCTAGGGATGTTAGGTAATTTGAAATACCCTGTCCGTGTAGCTTCGAATGGTAACTAAACGTGGTCTGAAGGCTTGCTCGCTGTTTCATACACCATTAATTTGGTGACCACTATGTCTCTTTCTGCCATTGCAACCAACGGAACTGTTAAAGGAGGGGGTGCCTACTATCTAATCTCTCGATCGCTGGGACCAGAGTTTGGCGGTTCCATCGGTATAGTGTTCTACTTGGGCTATGTGTTGAATACCGGTATGAACGCAGTTGGTCTTGTTGACTGTTTTACGCAAAACTTCGGAACAGAGTCTGGCACTTTATCCAATTTCCTTGAAGAAGGCTTCTGGTGGCAGTATCTCTGGGGTACTATCATTCTGCTTATCTGCACTGGGATCTGCCTAGCTGGGAGTTCCATTTTTTCTAGAGCAAGCAACGGCCTGCTCGTCATTCTGTTGGTTGCTACCTTTAGCATACCGGCATCGGCGATCTTTATGAAGCCCTTTAGTATTCCCAAGCTCCATGTGACATTCACTGGCGTGCGCCTTCAAACACTGCTGGAGAATCTTAAACCCAGGCTCACCAAGGGTGCTGCCGGCAGCCAGATCCACGGAAAAGAAAACTTCCAGGACCTCTTTGGAATATTGTTTCCTGCTACTGGCGGTATATTCGCGTAAGTGTATTATCAATTTATGATGGACGTAGGCTCATGACGTGAATAGTGGGGCCAGCATGTCGGGAGATCTGAAGAACCCTAGTCATTCGATCCCAAGGGGTACACTCTCGGGGCTGGCTTTGACATTTGTCACCTATACGCTTGTAATAGTTGCGATGGCTGCCTCTATAACAAGGGAATCGCTATACAAGAATAGCGATATCATCCAAATGGTATGTTTAAAGATGCAAACTCGACTGCCAACATTTGACTAAAACGTATCAGACAAATGCATCGGGAATTGTCATTCTCCTAGGAGAGTTCGCGACAACTTTCTTCTCAGCATTGATGGGCGTGATCGGTTCTGCGAAGCTTTTACAGGCAATTGCACGAGACAATTTGCTCCCTGGCCTGAAAATATTTAGCAAGGGCACCAAGAAAAACGACGAACCGGTCCACGCTATCATTGTAACTTTCGTTGTTGCCCAATTGACAATGCTCTTTGACATTAACCAAATAGCATCCTTTGTCACAATGACATATCTCATGACATTCCTGGTGATGAACCTCGCTTGTTTTCTTCTCAAGATTGGATCTGCTCCTAATTTTCGGCCCTCTTTTCACTACTTTAATTGGCAGACAGCTGCAGCAGGGGCGTTAGTTTGTGGAGCTACCATGTTCTTTGTGGATGGTGTCTATGCCACAGGCTGCGTCGGTATCTTAATCCTACTATTTTTGCTGATTCATTATACTTCCCCTCCCAAGCCGTGGGGCGATGTGAGTCAAAGCCTTATATATCATCAAGTGCGCAAATATCTACTTCGCCTTCGACAAGAACATGTTAAATTCTGGAGGCCCCAGATTCTGCTGTTTGTGACCAATCTCGATGACCAATACAAGATGGTCTCCTTTTGCAACTCATTAAAAAAAGGCGCCTTATTCGTACTGGGCCACGTTATTGTGACTGATGATTTCTCTTCCGCGGTGCCCGAAGCTCGCCGCCAGCAAACTACCTGGACGAAGTTCGTTGAGAATTCAAAAGTGAAAGCTTTTGTCAATATTGCAGTTTCTCCCTCTGCAGAATGGGGTATTCGTAACATCGTGTTAAATTCTGGTCTTGGGGGAATGCGGCCAAACATAGTTGTCATTGATCAGTTTCGCAATGGCCAGTCGTTGGTTGAGACAATACAACCCAGAAAAGACTCGAATGATAGACGTGACGTGGCCCCTGAGTCTGGAGTGGATGATGTTTCTCGGCCGCAAATGAGCTGCGCCAACTACGTGACAATATTGGAGGATCTTCTCTTCAAGCTCCGCATCAATGTTGCTGTGGCAAAGGGGTTCGAGAACCTTGAGCTGCCTACGTCTGGACAGCACCAGAAAAAATACATCGATCTCTGGCCTATTCAAATGTCAGCAGAACTTGGGGCTGACAGCGAAAGCAAGAAGAATGTTCTTACCACCAACTTTGATACATATACCCTCATCCTCCAGTTGGGATGTATCCTGAACACCGTACCTTCCTGGAAGAAGACGTACAAACTACGGGTAGCAGTGTTCGTTGAGTACGAAACGGATGTTGATGATGAGCGAGGACGGGTTCATGCGCTCCTTGAAAAGCTGAGAATCGAGGCGGAAGTTTTGGTTTTCTGGCTCGCATGTGGCGACGTAAAAAGTTATCGCATTATTGTGAATGGTGACAGGTCGCCGGCGGTTAGAGATATGCAGGACAGGGTGCAAACTACCTTGAAAGAGGAAGGCTGGTGGCAGGACATTGAAAAATTTCGCAGAGTATCCCACAACCAACCCAAGTCGGACGACCTTGGAGGCGAGCTGGGTAGGGTTTCCAGTTGGCATGGCGCTTCTAGTCATGACACTGTACAAAAGGCTCCGGCCCAATTGGCTGGTGGGCTAAAGAAGTTCATTGAATCAACCAGGCGTCGGCGTTCTATTTCCAGCTTCAAAGGGATTGGTGGTGTGAATCTGGGCATGCAAACACATCGCTTACTAGATAGCTTCGTTGACTACGACTCAAGCGACAGTTCTTCAAGCGACAGCGAGTTGGAGCCCTATGTCGACGATAGAGAGGATGGTACGAACAACAAGGGCCTTGCATCCCCCGATACTGCAAACCACGGCGTTCCATCCATAGTTGCCCCTGCTACCTCTCCTAAGAGCCAAGCAAGTGGAGCCCGACCACCTATGAGCCGTTCGGCGTCCAGCAATCGATTCAGTTCGTCGCCGATTCCTGAAGCTAAAGTCAACACCGATGAAGGTGCGGGACCCTCGATCATGTTCGCACCAAGCTCGCCCCCTCCTCGGGCTTCAAACAGGCGTGAATCCATTTATACGCGTCGGTCATCATCGGTGGGGTCTGGCACTGCGTCCGGGTACCCCCGGCGGGCGTCTGTGCCTTTGTCCTTTAATGATCTTCCTAGCCGAGCGCAACACCTGATATTGAATGAGTTGATGGCAGAGCATAGCAATGAAACTGCCGTCATCTTTACAACGCTGCCATCTCCCATGGAAGGCACCGCACAAGGTGAGGCGGCGAGTGAATCTTATCTGAGTGACTTGGACGTCTTATGGCAAGGGTTGCCCCCGTGTTTGCTGGTACATAGCAACAGCATGACGGTGACAATGAACCTGTAACGATGCTATGATCGCAATAGATCTCACTACTCTGGCCTGTACAGATATGTGATACACGAGTATAGATTGATAAGCATGGAGTATATATTGTTATGGCCCTCGAATATCAAAGGGCTCGACAAGTAGAGGGCGGATTCGTTGTTCAAGCTGTGTCATGTACCATGCTCTCCGACCCCGGCTGATCATGTCCAATGGGATTACAGCGGCTCTTTTCTCGAAGAGAATGCATAGTTATTATACATATGGAGTACTTGAAACACGCTTTCATTGTATAAATGTACTACAAGCACCCGAAAGAAAAAAATCCTAGGCAATCCCGTATACTTCTCACCATGTCCCTGAGTGATAAAGAAAGCCAACGAATGCAACGCAGCTTGTGCATCTCCGAGAGCTTCAGAAACACTAAACATACAGAGAGTTCCAGAGACAGGATTGATACCATAAATACCCATACCTACCAGCACCCTACACCAGTCTTGGCTCGTGCGCCTTTGTCGCTTGTAAACCGTGAGTGGGTCTTAGAAAGATAGGGTCTTTTTGTCGTCTTGACAATGATAAACGATTAGACGTTAGTAGGGATTTTGAAATCGGAACAAGCGAATCACAATTGTTTTGAGTGTAAATCTTTGGAGAGATACTAAGGAGGAGGAGTAGTACTCTTTGTTGTGTAGCTGCATATACCGTATGCCATAAGAGGCAACATATTTTCCTTCGGCCATTTAAATTCCTTTTTAAAAAAGACCCACTAAAATAGCCACGGCAAGGTTGGGCCGGAAGCTTGAGATCGATCTCGGATTCTAGACACTCTCGGTGCACAAGTACGCGGGGATCTTACTCCGTATTCCATGAATGTCATAGTACTCCTTGTAAAGTGTTATATTCAATTGCACTGTATGAGATCTCTACTGAAATGACCCTTGGCCAATTGAACAGGGAGAGGGTGTGTATGCTGTGTGTAATAATACGGATATCCCCGGTCAATTGTGGTCCAGAACTAGAACTACAACCAGAACTAGAACCAGAAGAGGTTTATTTCTCGCAAAGCTAGTATGGAAGGAGGAAAAACTTGGATGGATCCTGGTTTGGTAATGACTGACAATTACCCAAGATATGATTGGCAAATGGAGTGGAAGAGGGCCTTTTTTAAGGGGAGAACAGAAGGGGCAAGTATCGAAAGTGGAAATGAGCCCCATTGGGTCGACCCGCAGAAAATAAATGGAGGCCTCGTACTACGGGCCTCAGGCAGTGTACGCTGTCCGTGACATTCACACACGGTGGTCACCTGTTCTGTTGTTGCTTTTGCTTGTTTTCTTTTCTTTTTCATTCTTCGTCTTGTTGCATGGTGCCTCGTATCGTCATGCGCTTGGATTTCCTGCATGAAAAATTCCCCTGTCTCGGCTGAATATCCCTCAATTCATCAAGTCCTGTTCAACTGATTTCCTTCCCTGCTTACCCTCCCCCTGACGCGCTCGGAGGTCGTAATGCACAACGGCCGTGGACGCCGAAAGAACGGCAGTGTTAAAGCTCCCAAGAATCGTCAGCGCCCTACTATGTCACACTTAATCTCGGAACAATCCCTACCCACCCGCTCAAAATCCTCGGTCGCCAGCGACGATAGCGTAGACACCTCCGACGACACCTCAACCGCTCCCTCCTTCAGCAGTAGTCCGCCGAGCACAAAATCTGTCACCAACGGTGTTCATAGACCAGCTATGGCTCGAAAGGCTTCTTCTCCAATGGCGCCCGCCTTCATGGTGTCCGCGCCCGGCAAGGTCATTGTCTTTGGTGAGCATGCTGTCGTGCACGGTAAAGCCGCCATGGCTGCGGCCATCTCCTTACGATCCTACCTCCTTGTCACAACCCTGACCAAATCGCAACGCACCATCACCTTAAACTTCAGAGATATTGGCTTGAATCATACCTGGAGCATCGACGAGCTGCCATGGGACTTGTTTCACCAACCAACGAAGAAGAAGTACTATTATGACCTGGTCACCTCAATTGACCCCGAACTTCTCGATGCGATCTTGCCTCTCGTGGAGCGCATCTCCCCAGACCTACCTGAAGATAAGCGGAAACATCAGCGTGGTGCTGCGACTGCATTCCTCTACCTATTCTGCGCGTTGGGTTCCCCGCAGCACCCTGGAGCGATTTATACCCTTCGGTCGACGATCCCAACCGGCGCGGGGTTGGGCAGCAGTGCCAGTATATGCGTCTGTATCAGTGCTGCACTCCTTCTTCAGATTCGTACTCTAGCTGGACCGCACCCCGACCAACCGCCCGACGAGGCGGAGGTGCAGATCGAGCGCATCAACCGATGGGCATTCGTCGGCGAGATGTGCATTCATGGCAATCCTAGCGGGGTAGATAACACGGTAGCCGCTGGCGGCAAGGCCGTGATCTTCAGAAGAGGCGATTATTCCAAGCCACCGGCCGTTAGCTCACTCCCCAATTTCCCCGAGTTGCCTCTACTGCTCGTGGACACTCGACAATCCCGTTCCACGGCGGTTGAAGTAGCCAAGGTTGGCCAGCTGAAAGAAGAACAACCGCTAGTGACGGAGGCGATCCTCGATACCATCGAGAAGGTGAACGCTTCCGCACAGGAGCTCATTCGGGAAACAGATTCGTCAGGCATTTCCAAGGATACGCTCGAGCGCATTGGAGCGCTCATCCGCATCAACCATGGCTTGTTAGTCTCGCTAGGAGTCTCTCACCCTCGACTCGAGCGGATTCGTGAGCTTGTAGATTTTGCGAACATTGGTTGGACGAAACTCACCGGTGCTGGTGGAGGAGGATGTGCGATTACCCTCTTACGTCCGGATGCCGACCCAAGTGCTGTACGCCAATTGGAAGAAAACCTGGACAAAGAAGGATTCGCGAAGTACGAAACCACTCTGGGAGGAGATGGTGTCGGTGTTCTTTGGCCCGCCGTGGTCCGCAATGGAACCGACGAAGAAGGTGGGGAGGAGATCGACCAGCAGAAGTTCGAAAATGCAGATGGCCCCGAAGGCATCGAGCGTCTTGTCGGTGTGGGCACACAGGAAAAGAGAGAGGGCTGGAAATTTTGGAAACGAGCAATGCATTAACGTGTCGCCTTGTATCAACCCACGTTGAAGGCTTTCATCCTTACATTCAACTTACGCCAACTGCGTTCAATCGGACCCAGTCATTCTTCCTTCTCTCCTTATCTCTCTTTTAATTCAGCATTTCTTCTCTGACAGGAATTGGACTTGACATGATATGCATTTAATCCCCCATTTCGCATGTTTCTCAGGTACCATTACTATTTGCTATATTCGATTCTCTGTATAATCTTTACTCATGTGTTTTTGTTTCGCCTGCCACCTCTCGATACCTTTGCATTGTTCCTCCCCCCCCC